TTAGGGAATAAATCTGATTTTCCAAATTTGAATTATGAAATAGCGAACATTTGTGTTGTGCGTAANACAATTCTTCATAAAACCCTAATTTTTGTTCTCTCAATCCCAATTTTGAAAAGCCGTGTTTCTGCAATTTTCTGTTTCAATTCACCATGGCTGGAGGCAAGACTTCTGAGATGGATCGGGACCCTCGTTGAAGCTCCGTCGCAAGGCTAAGGGATAAAGGATGTCCACGAAGGCAACGTCGCCGCCTCCTTCACCAGCGAATCCAGTCATCCTATCTCTGCATTCCTGCATCGACGCTGTCGTCTGCAACCGGCGCCTGCGACTGCGTTTATGCTTAGTCATCGCCGCCTTCTGATGTTGCAGCTTCTTTTTCCACAACGCCGCCTCCGTCTGTCGAAGTAAGTCATATGCCTGCAGTAACACAACCATCACTTCCGCTGAACTACTGTCCCATCATCCTCTACACCAACTCGGGGGAGCCTTCAAGTGTTCACACATTTGCTAGAGGTTCCAACCCATTTGATGCACTGCTACCATCTGAGGTGCAAGGAGACGACGATTTTGAAAAGTGGTGAGGAAGAGGACAACGTCGCCCCCTCACTCCCCTCTTGCTTAGGTAGTGATTGTCCCTTTCCCCATTGAAAATGATATTTCTGACCCTGACTTTGAGCCTGCCGCAGAAAAGACACGTTCACTTCACCGTTCCACATGCCGGAAGGGAAAGGGGAAAGAGTCTGATATTGAGGTTATGCAAGAACCTGAAGATGATCCGTATGATCTCAGCAGTGCCTTCCCAACCGTTTCTATTCTTAGTCTGACTCTAAGAGATTTGAAGTACTTGCTATGGTCAGTTTTCATAATGAGCATGAGCATGTTGTGACTCATAAAAAGTTCCTTGACTATGGCATCATTGATTTAATTAATTTTAATTTAGAGTGTTGGTTTAGAAGCCACTGTTATTGACTTTAATCCCCTTTGTTCTCAAATTGTTTGTGAGTTTTATGCAAACTTGATCCTTTCTGTGTTTGATGCGGATTAATATTAGTATTAAGGAATATAATTATTAGTATTAGTCTTATTATTATTATTAGCAATTAATATTATTATTATTTAATATTTTGTAAGAGGACAAGTTGGGAATAGGGTTTATGAGCATTATTTAAAGGGCTCTCCATCTATTGTTTTATGGAGTTGAAGTTGATTATGAATAAAAGATTAATTGATATCGTGTTTAGGTGTTTTTCAGATTGCGATCTCATTAATATCGTCTCACTCGTACGCTTTCCTACATTAGTGTTTGAACACGATAATCCTCGTTTTGGAAGAGTATTCCTTCATAACAATGTCGTTGATTTTTCCTTTATCTTAATGTTTTCCTTGGCTTTGATCTTGATGCCTTCATTCCCTCTTGGTATGAAGAAGGATTTGATGCTTTCTAATGTTGCTGATTTTAATTGCTTTGAGGATGGGTTTCGCTAAATAGTGAGGAAGTGGTGTAAGAATTTGAAACAATTTGGTTGATTTGTTTGTCTGCTTCTGTTACTTGCTAGCGTGGGATGGACGTTTGAACAATTTATGTTTTTTATTTTCTGATACCGTATTATGCAAGATGTTGAATCTATGGCATGGCTTAGTTTTGATTTGTTTTGGATTATTGTATTCCTGCCTTTGGATTTAGAGAGATCTGATACTTAGATTGTATTATATTCGTTTAGTATTTGGGAGTTAGCTCTAATCCTTGTTATATCGTAGAAACAAACGTGTGTTGATGTTCTAACAATGCAAATGTTCTAACATTGCAGGAAGGATAGGTAGTTCCCTTTTGTTTGAACATGGATATGTTGTGCTGCTTTGAATTTATGTCAAGACACTGGTTTGCGAACTATGACAATAGTAAAATATTAGTTTGGCAAGTGTTCGACAAACTTAGCGTTCTTGATAATTTTCTTCTTAGACAAACAAAATAAATTTAAAAAAATGTTTTTCTATTCTTTCTGTTGTTGTAATCAGTGTTTTCGTACCGTACCATCCGGTAATATCGAATACCGGCTATTGGTACGGTTTAATTGCAAACAGAATACCGATTTACGGTTATACCGGTTTGTACCGGGGTCATACCGTAAATATCGGAAAAAACCGGTCCAAAATACCGGTCATAAAAAAAAATATATTGATTTAAAGACATAACATTTAAATTGGTAGTTAGAATATTTTATTTTTATCTCATTGGTAAGTTAAAATTAATGATTATGGTCATTTATTTTTTTACTTTTTTGCATTTGTTATTATACATTTACATATATATATAAATAAATATATCATTATATTTACTAGTCCGGTAATACCACTGATATTACTGGTCCGACTAGTAATACCGCGTACCGGTGGCTATACCGGTATGGCAACCAATACGGTATTTAAAATATTGGTTGTAATTAATTAGTTCATATGTATTATCATTATTTACTATACATTAGATATACTTATTATAGTAAGTAATAGATGATAATATCTAGCAATATATTACTCATATTTTCTTACCATATCTAAGTCACAAGTGTCTGTAATGAGTTTCATTATTCTTGTAGATAAAGAAAGCATGGATTATTTAAAGAAGGATGAGCTGATCGATTACATAAAGATCTCCCACACATTATGAGGAATAACGGAATCAAGTCGTGAAAATTAATTAAGATCTCGACTAAGATTCGGAGGTCAATAAACTGGGAAACATTGTTCCTGCACGATTATTGAACCAAGATTTCTGAGAATCTCCAAATAAAGAAGTGGATTTATTCAAGGAGCAAAGCAACTCCGTACGTTGAAGACAAAGAAAGACCAATACACGTCTTACTTACTTTTACTTGGAGATTGCATATGTCATGACGAAGACTCAGAGAGAAGCTGCTTCAATTACGATTAGTAGTATTGGGTTCATTATTCAAGATAGTCTCCGAGAGTTCGTTAGAGTTGTTTTATATTTTCATAGTTTAGATATTCAACAATTCAGTTTTGTGTTCATGCATTACTGAAGAGCTTAATCCTTTTTGTTCTCCTAAACTAAGTACTTAGTGATTAAATACTTTATTAGCTTGGAAGGAATCCAAATAGCTCCTTTAGTCCACATTGAGGAAGTAATTAGTTTTCAAATATAGTTGCGGTAGGTTTAGGAGAGAGTCCTGCTTATAATTACAAACAATGCATCGTGCGCGCGACCGGTTTGCTAATGAAAGAGATAGAGAGATTGTGGGATGCTCCCCGAAGACTAATTTGTTTAATAGTCGCTTCCGCTTTTAATTTTAGCGTTCTTACTTAATTTACGTTACTCTTCATACTCCCCTGCAGATTTTCACTATTTTTATTTGGTCCTCACAAAATTAATTTTTCCTTGAAGAAAAGCACCTCATGTTCAGGCTCATTCCGTACTCAATCCTCTATTCCTCTTAATAATTAATGCATCCCAATACTCGGGCCAGAACTAACTTGTCATCCCCATGGCCAATTGCAAGCCTTTAAAGATGCCCTATAAGTTTCGAAACCCATCTAAAACACAAAGCCCAACAATTTCCTAGCTTAACCTTATAACCTAATATAGAAGTGTACCAAACAAGAAGTTCACAGATGGCTAGTAAATATATCAACAAATATTCTTTTGCGTCTTGTATATTAAATGGTAGAGCAGTATAAGAAAGATTACGGATGATGTAAGACGGATAACCATATTTATGAAGAAAATGTCACTGATAAAGCTCTACTAACTAACCTGTATAACAACATCCAGAGCTTCAAATTCAGCATTTCCATGCAGAATCACTTTTAAGGCCTCAAACCGCTGCACGTCGTGCTTCCAGAACAAGTTCTCTTCCGAATCCCAATTTATTCCATCATTCAGTACCTTGACATTTTCTAGTTTGCACCTCGCACACCTATATGAATGAAACTTTATCAAGGGAATGCACAGTTCATGACTATTCATCCCCAATGACTAACTGCCATAGCAATACCTCCTTCCATAATGTAGTATCGGTTCACCAGTTCCATTGGTTTTATCTGACCCCATGACATTGTCACCCAAAATGATCAAGCTGCCATCAAGCTGCAGTAAGTGATACTGATCAGAAAAAACGAAGTAAATGAAAAGAAGCCTTATATTCTTCAAGAAATACTACCCGAACATTCCTCCACAGAAACTCAGCAACCTCTATTTGCAGTTCTGAGCCCTTGGCAATGGAACCACCCAAAAACTGGTAAATGAGATGGACAGAACATGGTCAACAGATGTACAAAGGATAGAAAATCCAAATTTGAGACAGCATCATGATAAAAGTTGTTCCAAACAAAACTCAATGATATTTTTTTTTTTCAATAAAGGAAATTGAAAAAAGCAATTTTTTTTATATGCACATAAGAATATATCTAATTAAAGGACAACTAGAGAACAAAATTTGGTCTCTGTTGAGATATGATTAGCTAGTGCCCTTAATCTTTCATTCTTATATTTAGAAACTTATAATTAGGATACTAATTACTGTAAGTTGAACAATCAATCCCGTAGTTATGAGGTAATTGTCTGTACATCTTTGCCTATATAAGAAAGTATATGTTGAGAGTCTTTCTCAAGCAGTTCACAATTTCTCGTCTATTCAGAGTCCATGATTTGTTGAGAGTCTTTCTCAAGCAATTCACATTCCCAGTCATATGACTCTCAGGCAAAAGAAAAAAATAAAAAATAAAAAATAAAAATAGCAGTTAAGAAAACCCTAGCTTCAATCTTCCGACCTGAACTCCAGTTTTGGTGGCACGAATAGTCACGTGCACCACTGACAGGTTCGCCAGCGCCGCCTCCCTATTGTCCATGTGCCGCCACGCAGCCTGTCTAGTAGGCGGGTGCAGTCCACGCGCCACCTTCCAGTGCCTCGAGGACCTCGCAGCTAGTCTTGTTAGGTTCGCCGACATCTTCTTTGTTTGTTGATGTGGTCATTTCTCCGACCTTGTCACTTGTTGGAGATTTTACAGCCTGTTTCTTGCCCAAAACCGTCCTGAAGGGCTGCTTTTGAAAATTGTTTCAGTTTGTTCAGGGCCACAATGCCTCTCTCCCCTCCACAGGTACTCCAACCATTACTTGGGAAAAGCTTAAGGGAAAAAATTATTTGGATTCGCAAAATGCTGTGGAAATTTGGTTTCGTGGTCGAGTTTGTATGACCACTTGGAAAACAAATATGAAAACATTGACGTCTCGAAGCGTGAAAAATCGACGCAAGTTCACCAATCAAAAAAAAAAAAAANCAATCAAAAAAAAAAAAAAAAATGGACGCAAGTTGATTATCAGTTGGTCACTATTTTGTTGCAGTCCATTGATCCTAAATTGATGGTCCACTTTCGTACTTATAAGTCCTACTTGATGTATGGAAGAAAGCTCAGAACTTGTACCCGAATGATATTCAACGCATTTACAACGTAGTTCATAATTTGGCTACTATCCAGATGACGGATCAGGATCTTAAATATTATTGAACAAAGCTCGGTCTACAATCAATGAAGTTAAGAGGCTCTTACTTTGTGATGACCTAACTAAAACGGTAACCAAACTCGATCAGTGGTGCATAGTATTTTTCCTTCATGGTCTTCAGAAAGATTTTGACTCCAATCGACACCAAATCCTGACAAACCCTAATGTCCCGTCATCAGTTGATATTATTGATGGATTGTTGCGCGTCTCTCATCCTGAGGCCATAGTTGATGTTGGTTCTTAAATTGTTCAACAATCTACCACCGTCTTCGTAGGTCGTGGACGCGAAGGTCGAGGCAATGGACAGGGTGGACGTGGAGGTCGTCCTCAATGCTCATATTGTAAGCGTATGCGACACACGCAGGAGCTACCAGTTGAAGGTTTTCCAAACGGCAAATCTTACTTATTCGAAGCCTTCTGAAGAGGTGAAATCAAGAAATCAAAATGTTTCTCATATGCCGAATATGAGGACTTCTTTCAGCTTAAGACAATTCAACCAACTTCAGCCACCGCCGCACGCCGCACGCACAGGTAATGCTACGGTTTGTCTCTCTCATTCATCTGTTCACTATATTATAGGCCCAATCCATAAAAGCTAAAGGCCCTAAGTCTATATATATGGACATCTTCATATGTGAAAGGATCATTCATCCAAAACCCTAAGGTTTGTACATCACATCAGAGCAAAACTAGGGTTACTTTTTTTAACATTCAGATCTCACCTCCCATACCAATAGCCTCACTGCCCAAGGATCGATCTTCCGGTCATTTTTTGTCGTCGAAGTCCGCGCGTGTGGGTCCCACGCGCTGTCGAACAGTCTGTAGCCGTCCTCACGCGCCTGGAGTGTAGGCGTGTGGCTTGCCGGATTTATTTCCAGCAAACGGCCGTTGACTCGGAATCTTCTGGGCTTCTTGGCAGTGTTGTTAGGTTTGTGGTTTGGGCGGTTTTGGTGTTCCGTTTGACATTTTTCAGATCCTACATCACTTTGGGTAAGAGTTTCTTACCCTCGTCTCTTATTCTTTCACTGTTCACTCGTCGTGTGGTCTTATGCTGCGTGTGCCAGGACAAGCTCTGCTCCCTTAATACATTGTCGTCCGCCTGTCGCAGAGGCATAGCTGTTGTCATACATCACTGAATCATGTCGAAACTCAATGCGATTGCTATAGATCCTGGATTCGACCGCTTCAAATCATATAGCTGGTAATAACTTTCTTGTCTCAAAATAATCTGAACCAAAACTTTCTCAAGTATATCACCCTTGCTATTCTAAAGCAAAAGTCATGGGCATTGGCGAAGACACTCCTCTTTCCACATTATCTTTGCATTTTGTCCTTTTCGTACCTAATTCTCCTTTCAATTTAGTTTCTGTTAGTAGACTTACCCGTGAACTTTACTATTGCATAAATTTTATTCCATCCTCTTTTCATATACAGGACCGGAGTGCGGAATGAATGATTGGTACAGGATGTGGGACACATGACCTCTACTACTTTCAATCTCCACATCCCATTGTCTTACTACAACAAAATCTTCCAATCTTATTGCTTGAAAAAGCAAGAAGCAGAACGTTTTTGCTAGATCTAGTGACAAGGCAGAGTATCGAACCATGGCTCTACGACATGTGAACTTATTTGGTTGTAACAACTTCTCGGCGAATTGAAGTTCTGCAAGTTACAAGTCATGAATCACATTTGTGATAATCAAGCAGCCTTGCATATTTTTTCTAACCCTGTGTTCCACAAAAGAACCAAGCACATTGAAGGTAATTGTCATTTCATTCGTGAGAAGATTGTCTTTTGTAAATTCTGCATATGTTTTCACCAAGTCTCTTTGAGGTTCAATGATATCTTACATATGAAGCAAGCTGGATGCTTATGTCATTTATGTACCAGCTTGAGGGGGAGTGTTAGATAATGATCAGATAGTTTCCTTAATCTTTCATTCTTATCTTTAGTAACTTATAATTAGGATACTAATTACTGTAAGTTGTTCAGTCAATCTCTATGATTATGGGATAATTGCCTGTATATCTTTGTCTACATAAGAAGGTATTTGCTGAGAGTCTTTCTCAAGCAATTCACAATTTCTCGTCTCTTTTAATGTCTGCTTCCTCCAAGAGTCTCTACCACTAAAGCTAGAGCCTCTTTCCGGAGGCCTTGCGAAAAGTTGAAAAGTTCTAATACATCTAGCATAACGAATAAAATGAAATCTGAATAACCTTTTGTCTGGTGACCTCCCAAAGTGGACCAAGAGCAGGATGAAGGAGTATGATATAGGGAGGCCCAGAATTAGTATATTCTTCATTACCCTCAACCTGCAAACAGTGAAAAGAATCTGCTATATAAGCAATTTCACGAAGAAAAAAAAAATCCCTTGTAATTTTCAGCCATTAAAATAATATCATTGCAATAGTATTGTGACACAATCTAACAAATAATCAAAGAAATAATGCCAAACGGTTCTAAAATCCACCTCGGGAAGAACTATCCCACATGGAGAAAGTAAATCATAAGCATTACGCATTATGTCCAGCAGAGATCCATCTGGAGTCTGCAATGAGAAGTTAAATATGGTTTAGAATATCAAAGGAGTTAGGCTAAACCGCAAATAAAGCACCTGGTAAAGCTATACTTTGTAAAAAGAGGGGAAGCGAAGCAATACAAAAACACACATGTATATGTAATAAAACATGTACTTGTGTACAATGAAAATATAACATTGGTAAGACAATAATGTGGAAACTTTCAAGAATAACTTTTCTTTGGTGCCAGAAAATCATCCGTACTGACATAAGGAAGCATATCTGTTCAAGAATAAAATAACTCTTGCAGTTGAAAACCATGGTCAATCTCATGATGCTAAAAGCACAACATTGAACTGTGTATCAATTAAGACCTGTTGCAGAGACTTATCAGACTGCTTCCTTCTCTTCTTAGCAGAAGAAGTAACCTTTCTTCTTTTATTATACACAATAAAGGTATCTAACCTATCTGCAAAATTTTGACCAGAATATGTCCCACGTTAGTAAGGAAAATTCATACAAAAACCCCTAGATGAATTTCCAAAAAGTGGAGGAACAATACCTAAACCTTTTACATCTTTATAACACCGAGAAGAATAGGTGTTGGTAAAACTATCAGCAATATTTTGCATTGTACACTCCAGACGGCCACCCAAAACACTATCACAAAGTCAAAGAAGGACAATTAATATTAAACATCAATAGATTAGGTGAAATGTATGCTTGAATAAAGTGAAGTTATAATACTTCTCTATATGCATATTAACTGTACAGCAGAAACATAATCTGCATACTACATGCTGTATCATCTTTATCCTGCAATTTTTATTTTCTTTTTCAAAAAAAAAAAAATCTCTCAACAGCTTCTAACTCAATCATTACAGTAACTTATGTAATCGCCACTTATAGAGAAAGTATTCTAACCCCAATATTCAAATGTAATATCATACTAGTACAATACCCGTATACTACAAAAGTACTTGTTAAGAAAATTATATTTAAAATTAAATAATAATAACAAAAATTATTTTAGTTTTTAAATACTTTTTTGAAAAATATATTATTATTTATATTTAAATTGATACCGTCACTTACACGACTTACCATCTTATATTATATAATTTTTAATTTATATCTGATAACTACATTGTCGTTAAGTTAGTTTAAATAATTATATTTTTTCGAATTAATATTAATAGGTAATTTAAAAACTCATTTAAAACTACTTTATTCAATATAGATATATACTCTATTTTATGAATTAAATTTATGCTATTAAAGAACGATATAAAATGTATTTTGAATTATATAAAATATGAAAAAGTAATGCATCTATGAATTAGTTAAAAACTCAATTAAAACTAGAGAATATCAAATTTACAGAATTATCTTAGGATATACTCCCATAATAAAATGATAGCTTTAATACACAAATTTATGGGAGGCAATCAATTTATGGTAATGGAAAAGATATTTATAGGATGCAATAAGGTAAGATGAAATAATTATTTATGGTTGATTCCAAGCCGATTATGTTTCCAAATTTTTATCCGAACCTAAATACGAATCATAATAATTTAACACGTATGATTCCAAAGTGTGCGAGCCTGTCATTTAAGCTCAGCACGTTTTGAATTTTTTTATTAGGGGGGATTTACTTAATATGGAGTCGTTTTATTTTTTCTCCAGACCTATAACATTTTCAATATAAATGCCAAATTATGATCATTTATGGCTCTACTTCCAAATAAATAGTCACGAAAATGACATAATGGTAATTATAAAATCTATATATATATAAAGAGGAGCAACATAGCATTTAATTATATTATCATGCATTAAATTTTAATATCCCTCCAAAATTTTCAATATTCAATTTCATTTTTAAGTTACAAAATAACTTGCTTGAATGCCATAAATTATGAAAATAAATCAATCAAGGGAGTTACAAAATTATACACAAATTTTAAGTCACACCCACTCATGAAAATGGCCGGATGTATTAGCATAAAGAAAATAGTTGTAACTGCTCTTCCATAACAATTACTTGATCAAAATCAATTTTGAGAATTATTTTCTTAATTCATATTTTTTCATGAATTAAATTATGATTTATTTTTATTTTTTTTTTATATTGTTATCTTTTTAAAGTATTCTTCTCTGTGCATTTGCACAGGCTAGTAAGTAAGAAAATGGTGGGGCATTCACTTAATGCTGATTTAATGTTCCTTTTGACAAGGAACCCACATATGCGTTATTGGCGAAAAAAAGTAACTTCTACATGATAGTCCACTGAAATATCCTAGATAAGGGACTACATAATAAATTTAGATGGCCACAAGACAAATTGCTGGCTGCTTTGGCACAAAACAATTTTATAAGACAATTTTGTCCATAAGCTCAGCAGTACGGGTGTGACGTTGGCAATAAAAAATGTGGGAACATAAGATTACAAAGGCCAATGTTGTTGCAATAATATCAAACTAAAAAATGTAAGTAAACTGAACGGAAAAAAAAAAAATTACCAGTGTTTCATTCCAAACTGATCCACATATGTGATTGGCTTTTTAGCATTAAGAACCAATCCTGGCAAACTGCTTTCTTTTTTACTTGATCCAACAAGCTCAGCAGAAGGTAAATCCACGTAAAGAATATTTGTATTGGCAGGAAACCTTAAGAGAAATAACTCATGTAAAGGTACAAGTATATCAGACATTCTGTCAACCCTTCATATTTTCATCAAATGCAGAAAATAAAATATATACCAAGTAATTAAAGGATTAGCATGACATAGGAAATATCGACACAATAGATAAGTGGCCAGGTATAGAATAGCGAAGAAGACTTATTCTATATATATCCCATATTGAAGTACGTATTTTAGTGGTAACATCTAAACAACTCTGCTAAACTTAATGCCTCAAATAGCATAGATGACAGATAAAGTTGTGATATGTCTTGTCATCAGCAATTGAAAATGACCAATTAATAAGGGTTTCTAATCCTTTTTACTTCCTCTTTGCAGTTAACATCTTACTATATTTTACATAGCAAAAGAAGGTTGCAGAAATTACCAACAGAGTTTCATGAACTCAGAACCACAAATTGGATAGCGTCTTTCTTTCTATGTCAATGCGTCAGTATCACTTACTTCAGTGCTAGGAAAACAACAATCCAATTATACTTCACATGAACGAATATGAACCTTTATGAGGAGAAACATATTTATTGGTAGTTTAATATGATAAAAACGTTTGAGCATTAATTATACAAATTCCGCGTATATATCTTTCTTCTGATTAGTTATATTAGAATCTTCTTCATATGGTAGGGAGATTTTTCTGTTTGGCAGAAGCTGTAGCCTAGTCGTTAATCCCACCATAAATATGGGAATCCTAGGTAGTTGCCGTTAGTCCCACCATAAATATGGGAATCGTAGGTACTTGCAACACATACAGAAATCATCCTCTCTTCATACTTTGTATACATCATTGTGTGATAAACAAATGTAGATAGAAGAGAGATATACCTGCTGGGAGCAAGGGGCCCAAGAGTGACCCCAAACTTGTCAAACTCAGTGTATTCTATACATGAAAAACCATATGCCCACTTTCCATCTACAATCTTCTTCTCAAGAAGAACATTGATGCCTTCTGTTGCCCCAGCATTTCTTTCACAGGAGGCAAATCCCAGTTTCTGACACGATAAAACCAAACCATTCTAAAGTTGAAATATAATCTATTTCGAGAAAA